CGTTTGGGTATGAAGTACATTCCAGACATATCTTGCAGGAAGGTTTTAACGTTTGCCGTATGGCACGTCTTTCGTCATGCAGAAAAACTCACTACATCTGTCTATTAGGCTTTTTCCGCGATATGGTCTTTTCTAGACAGTCTAATTGGGTTGTATACGGTATACTTGGGTAATTCGATAATTTTTCATCGAATGAATGAATATCGAATAAACTCGAAAATAAAAAATCTCGAATAAACGAATATCGAATAAATTCGAAAAATCAAAAATATCGAATGAATGAATTTCGAATAAATTCGGAAAATCAAAAATATCGAATGAATGAATTTCGAATAAATTCGGAAAATCAAAAATATCGAATGAATGAATATCGAATATATTCGAACATTGGAAGTCGAATTTCGAATAAATATTCGAATGATTTATCGAATAACTAAGGCAATCACATCTCAAACTTGCCGACATATCTGGCTAAAGCCGATCCAGTCATAATCAGCCCCCCAGTATCCCCTATACCAACTCCTAGCTCAAAATTTTCCAAAAATTGCTGAAATCAATAAATAGATTTCGATTTAATCAGCACCCTCACTTACCCCTCTGTACCAACCCCCAACCTCGTAGCTCAAGATTTCCAAAAATCGATAAAATCGATAAAGTAAATTTTTATCCTCAATCAGCACCCTCACTTACCCCCTTGTACCAATTCCCAACCTCGTAGCTCAAGATTTTCCAAAAATCGATAAAATCGATAAAGGTAAATTTTTATCCCTAATCAGCACCCTCACTTACCCACTTGTACCAACTTCCAGCCTCGCAGCTAAGACTTCTTTAGAAATTGATGAAATCGATAAAGTAAATTTTTATCCATATTAGCACCCTCACTTACCCCCTCGTACCAACTCCCAGCCCCACAACAACGGTAGCCCATATGTGCCACCTAAATGCCACAAATGCTGAGATACATTGCCTGTTCATCGGGGACTTTCGTCTTGTGTGGTATAAGCTAGTCGTGGACGAAGGCATGTGGTTTCCTCTGCGAAGCGAGCACGAATGCCCCTATAACCCCGGGCATACTGCAGGCATTTCAGTGGCGACGTGGTATAGCAATACTCAAATTGTCCAAAACCTATTTTGAAAGTACAGAATGCAGGGCATTTATCTTTTTAGTATGTTGTACACGCTAAACATTTGTGGTAAGCTGCCATTACATCTGAAGACATCTCGTAACTGGCAAATCGCATACGGCGATCTAAACCGTCTAATCCTGCACTACAACTGCGATGTCCTTTACTCAGTATACACCAATTCGCAAAAAAACTCCAAGGTAACGAATAGGCAGTTTTGCAATAATTTATGCGAGCGAGAGTGCTTACTAGTGTGGGCTTTGCGTACCGCAAGCATGAGCAATGCAAAAAAAAAGAAGAACAGCCATTTCAATTCAGATGAACTCAAAACATGAGCTTGAATTTGATATCTTCTTTGCTGATTTGGTGCCAATAGCAGTGCGAACAATCTCATTGATCGAAAAAACATCAATTAAAATCCACATATGATTTTTTTTACTGTTGCAAGCTGTCGGAAGAATGCGACTCTCCATACAGTTCAAAGGTATACCGGAGGACGTGCGTTATACTACAAAGATCTCGCCGCCAAAGCTCGCCTCATAGTCGGCACGCGCGCCGAGCTGGCTTACTGTATCCCGCACCCATTTTGCACCGGTGAGCCATGAGGCAATCGCGCGAATGCAGCCTCGTCAGCTTTGTCGCGGTGCGACGTCGCGCGCGATGTCGCACCGCGACAAAGCTGACGAGGCTGCATTTGCGCGATTGCCTCATGGCTTAGGCTCACCGGTGCAAAATGGGTACGGGATACAGTAAGCCAGCTCGGCGCGCGTGCCGACTATGGCGGCGAGCTTTGGCGGCGAGGTCTTAGTAGTATAACGCCATGCCGCCGGTATACCGGTTGCAAAAGATGCATTACCGAGTTTTGCGAAAAAAAACGCGGACGAAGAGAGCTTGATACTCAGCAGATGGCTATGCAACAAAGTCGAATAATCTGAATACGGAGTACATTCGAATACGAATTCGAATAAACATTCGAATAAAACATTCGAATAAAATCTATTCGAAACCCCGTTTTTTGATTATTCGAGTTTTCGAATAATATTCGAAACCTCGTTTTTTGATTATTCGAGTTTTCGAATTTTATTCGAAACCCTGTTTTTTGATTATTCGAGTTTCGAATTTTATTCGAAACCCCGTTTTCTCAATTATTCGAGTTTCGAATATTATTCGAAAATGGAAGAACTCCGAATATCGAATTTCGAATACGAATATATTCGAATGTTTTATTCGAATGATCGAATTTCTATTCGATTCGGACCCAAGTATAGTATACGGTACGGCCGGCAATTTCCAGCGCAGGAGGTCCTTCCCGTCCCCGAGAAGCCGTGATCAAAAGCATGCCGATTGACCCTTGATTCTCAAAGCAAACCAATCTCTTTTTGTCCCAAATTGACAAGCAAACGCCATTACCCCTAATTCCTAACAAACCGTACAAAAAACGCCTACTTTCACACGCAAAAGCATCAAATGCCCAAAATACATCTATTTGCTTCCTCAAATTTCCATCTTTGGTAGCTGAAAAAACTGAAATAAATCTGCTTTCCACTAAAGTCGTTTATGGTAATTCAAACAGCGCAATCACCCTTTTCAATTATATACGCAACTTGCGGAAAGTAGTCGCTCCTCAAAGAACTGAAGACAAAAATGCAAACGCCAAGAACTTATGAAACGACCTAATAGCTTAGAATAATGCGCTCATCATTTTGACACTTTTTAGCAGTTTTCACTTATACAGTGTTCAGAAGCAGGTATACAAATTATTAGGTTGTAGCAGAATTAATGCAGTTTTTCAAACATCTTTTTCGGATTGTTGGTTCGCAAAAAAAACACAGTGCTTCAGAAAACTGTGGAAATCATCTAAAAAAACACTCTTTCTCTACTTTCTTGGGCATGCTTTCGTTTCAAGAGGACTAGGTTCGTTTCGAATTTCCGTGCTTCTGAAATCAAGAGACTAATTTCTTAAAAATTTTCTTTTTACGCTCTCTGTTCTAAATTTCACCGCGAAAAGTCGGGATTTTTTGCAAACTGACATAATGTTTGTAAGTGTTCCGTGCTACAAAATGCACCTTGAAGGAAATTCTTTCAGAAGAGACTTTTTTCATACCGAGAAATTTCGTTCAAACTCATACAACCGCATTCTGCGGTGTATATACACCTAAGTGCAAAGCAATTGCAGAGCTTTCGCCATGTGCAGAAAGAATAAACATAGGACATTGGATAGCAAAAAAATCGGAAGCTCTTCTCCTTTTTGGCGGCGAGAAATTTGAAAACCAGAAGAAAGGCACTTTTCGCCTTTTTGGAGCGGTTGAGGAGAATGAGCGATTACAAATATTTTGCAACCGCAATAGGTGGAGAAATTTCTCTGACCCCTTCACTTTAGGGCCGGCAACTGGCTGACCCCTTTCACCTGAGACTGAAACTAGAATCAAGGCATAACGGCCAAATCAAACAGCTGTTACCAGGACACTTCAAGGGAGTTCCAGTTGCTCTTTTTCTCAGACATCAAGACTGCAACAGATTATCGAATCAAGAGCGTTTTGTTGAAAAAACGCATGCTCGAGACCTTCTGCGCACCCAAAGTGACGTTGCTAACCAAATATAATCGAAAATCAAAAGGAGTCTGATTTTTCAAATAATCAACATTGTGGCAATGAACACACTCTCTCTCAAGAAAAAGTTCAGCAAGAGTAGAAAATTTGGACTAGCTAGTGATGGATGCATGTTTGCTGACAAGAATCGTATCATATCTCCTTTTACTAGAGAAAATAATAACGAATAAAATAGCAGTTAGATTATTCGTTTCTCAAGCTTTCGAATTGTATAAAAGTTCAAAAAAAACTTCTTGGTTTGAAAAGATAATTAGCCAGAATTGGCTGATTTTGTAGCTATGTAAAACTGCTCGTATCTCGCTTCACAGAAAAGCTAAGATAAGAGACGGTTTACGTCGATTTCTCGTGTTCTTAGCTAGCGAATGGTATATAAAGTGTTGGTGCACAAAGCTTTCCCAGGCAAGGTGGAGCAAGTTAGTATTAAATATTTCCACCTTATTTTTGAAAAGCCACAGGTTTTTTCACGAACAAATTATATCCCATTAGAAAACCCACGAAAAAAGAATTCGGTGTCTCTTTTTCTCTAGCTCATCTCTATTTGAAGATACATGGCATTTTAGCTAAAGTCATTATTTGTGTTTTTGTCAAAAAATTCCTGCGTGAAGAATGCATGAAGGTGGTTGATTGCCTAACAGTATCACAGAGTAAAACCTTGCCAGTTAATGTGGACCGTCCCTTTTTTCTTATCTTTATCCTTTATTTCAAAAATGAAGCACAAAGTAATCACACAAAATTAACTGGTGAGTAGACGTTTAAAATTGCTCGTATCTCGCTTCACAGATAAGCTATGAAAAAAAGAGGTTCTAGGTCAATTTTTCCAGAACTCAGCTTTTGAACGATATAAAGCATGTTAGAGCATTTTTGTTTCCCGGCTCCAAAAAGCACTTGCTCCCGTGACCGATAAAAGCCAATAAATTGAGGGAGCTGGGTGGAGCAAGCTAATAGTAATTATCTCCACCCATTTCAAAATCTGGCAAGTTTTTTTCGCCCAGCAATCTATAAACCATTCGAAAGCTCAAAAAAAGGGGATTTGACCTAGAACCTTACAAGGTTAGGAGTAGCAGAGACCTCCTTCACCTAGAGACGGCCCGGCTCCCCCTATCGCACCTATGGGGAGTACTATACTTACAATTTTCATGTGCAATGAATATAAATATATATAAAAAGGTTTCTCAAACACAGTTGCACCTTTGAGAAATAGCCTAGGGCAATATTGTTAATTGCGATAACATGATGTATTATTCACCAACTATATAGAGTAATTTAGACAGCAATCAATTATCATCTATCTGCCTGTCTGATCAGAAAAGTAATGAGTACGACTATGGAGGCCATTTTCTGTTACCTTAACAACTCCACCGAATTTACAAGAAATAATCGTACTATTAGTACGGAAGTCTACGAAAACAGGTAGGTGAATTTCAGAAATCAGAAAGATCATCAGAAATAATTTCCTGGAAAGAAATGCTTTGAAGAGTTGGATATACGTTCTAAAATGTCTGAAGTGACCAAATTGTTTCGTTGGCTCGTTGGCTACATAACCGTTTCGTTTTTCTTCCTTGCTGGGTAAGCTGATTATACAATTTTTGTTATAGTGACCATGCGATAGTAGAGATGCAATTGTGAAAGCCGATTCACCGCCTACCTTTACTTTGAAGGTTGTACATTATGATTACTTACACTTTTAAGCACTTTTAAGCATAATAAACTTTTTCACTGATTGCAAAAACAAGTGAAAAATACATGTAAAACAGGGCGCATAGTTTCAAAAGTTCTGCCGATTTTCAATGGCCTTGTTTTAACGCAATTATTTTCTTAGGACTTTGCTTATGGCATTACCATGACCATTTTCCAAAAATATTTTTCTTGCTCTATTTAGTGCTTACTGATGCTTGGCGAAATAGCATTCCTGTGATGAAATTTCAAGCCCCGAAGCAAAGTTGCCAAGATAAAGTCATGCTCAAAAGGAAGTTTCCATGAAGGGAACTTCCGCAGTATTCGTAAAATTAAATACATGATGTAACGGGGGTTGTCTAGTGGTGTTAACGGTTTGAACCGGATCGATCAAGAAAGACACGGTTGAAATAAAAATATTTATCTTTATGGCAACAATGAACAAGGATAACTTGAACAACTTGAACACTCCACAACGAATATGAGTCCTTCTGACCCGATTTGGCCCGTCTAGCTTCTCTTTATCTAAGAGGGAGGTTTACCTTTCTTCGATGGCTCGTTTAAACTCCCTAGAGCGCTCTCTCCACGCTGTGACTGCTCCCTATCCACCGGTATTTTTACCCTGCTGAGAGGTCGGATCGGCCTCTCCTTTCTTGCCACTAATGATTGGTAGATCGGTGACACGCGCCATCCAACATCCCTTCCCTCCGGGAAGCCGACGTTCTCGGCGGCTGCTGCAACTTACTGAGTTTTGCGCCGGGAACTTTCCTGCGGATGACGTTGTAGAGGTATCGCGCATATCCGTCCCTGAAGTGCGTGTCGTATACCTGCAAAAAATTTTGGTTTTCATCTGCTTCTATGATCACGTTCCCATTTTCTGTTCTCGAGGGAGCCAACATGAACAACTGATTTGAGTTTGCCTTTCTTCAGTACTATTCAATCACCGACCACACTTTTGACTTCGTTTTCTACAGACCAATCTTCTTGAGCGATAGCGGCGACCACACGGATACAATTTTTCCTCCTTCTTCGAGGTACTTCTTGCATATCCGCAATGTTTCTACCCTCGATATCATCCCATATGTCTTCCCTCAACATGACGTGGATTACGTGGCTTGATGAGGCGCCGCCTCGCCTCGGGCTTGCGCCACGTTGCGTGCGCATTTTCGGCGTGATGTGGCAACAAGAAGAACGTGGAAAAGTCTGCGCCACGTTGTGTTGAGCGCCACGTCGCGCCAAGTGATGCCAAGTGATGCCTCGCCTCGGGCTCGCAACGTGGCGCGAGCCCGAGGCGAGGCGGCGCCTCATCAAGCCACGTAATCCACGTCATGTTGAGGGAAGACATATGGGATGATATCGAGGGTATGATAGCCTCATCCTCCCTTCTTGGGTTCATGGGCCATACTATGATCGACAAACGACAACTCTTTAAGCATGCCAATGCTTCTTTAAGTTGACTGAGATACTGCCGTCTTGGTCAGTACTCCAACTTCAGCCCAACTTCCTCTAGTGATGCTGCCCATGTCGGTGCGATAAACGCAATAGGACGTTCCTTCTTAGAACTTTGTCCTTTTTCACTGCATGTTTTTTCAACTTTGACTCCTTTTTGTGCCTCTTCGCACATTTTCCGATCACTTCTGGAAGGGCTGTGCTTCATGTTCCCCTTCCTACAAGTCGACTTCTTCCACTTGCGCTCACAAGGTTCCTTTGGCCTGATTCTTTTGTCTGCTTTGACATCTCTTTTTTCTCTCTCAAGTTTTCTTGTTGACAGTTACATATCTGTCCTTCTCTGAAATAGATCTGTTCACAGTTATGGTACCTTGTTGGATCTTCGCTCTCACTAAAGCGGTGTTTCTCTTGTGTGGAGGCACCATCTCATCCTTTGCTTTTACTTTAACTTCAAGCTTCTTATGTATCACTAGTTCCACCCCTACACTCTTCAGTGCATCTGTGTCAATGAGTACTTCTTTAACCCTATCGCCCAAAACGTTAAAAGTCACTTCTTTCTTGCATCCTCGTTCTAGTTCAACTTCTACTTATACTTCGAGAAAGCCCATCACATCATTTGCACCGTGTATGCTTCCTTCCGGAATATCGAAAATTTGAAGTGAATCGGCATTGTAGCCACTGTTCCTTGCTTCTACAAGCACTTTCACGGGTACTTATCATTGAACCCGTGTCAATGAGTGCTGACACCTGTCTTCCCAATATTCTCGCTCGAGTCAACGTTCTTCTACCAACAATTTCGTTTGCCTCAACTTGACTGGTTTTTATGACCATATTACAGCTCCCACTTGTCATGGATGTTACCTCAGTCGAAGCCTTGGTAGCGCTTTCAATCTTCGTCTTCCTGTACTCTTGCAATCTCTTATCACATGTCCGAAGCATTTGAAACATCTTCTAGATTCGTGATCCTCATTTTAGGCACTCGAGCTACCCGTTGGCTCCTGCCTTCCCATACCATCTTTTCTTTTCGCCTCTCTATGCTAAGCTGCTTCGACTTTGCCTCATAGGTGGCACATACCTTTCATTTCTACTTGCTCTTCTCCAAAACGGCGCTTGCTGTTCACTCCTCTTCTTGATTTGCAGAGTCTTCGCGACTGCTCGGACTCAATCGCGATATCTTTTATCTTATTGTATGCCTCGGCTGGGTACAGTTTGTGTAGGATTTCCACCAGCTGCACGTAATCTGGCTATGACGTCAGATTCTCCAACAAAATCTGTGCGCACTTCATCGGTCTTTCCTCAATGGTACCTTGGGGATTAACCTTCCCTGTTAGGTTCTCGAGGGCGACACAGAAGTCCAAACTCTCGGGATTTTTCTCCCCGCACGCATTAACCTGCCATGACTCAAAAGGTACAGATTTCTTCGCTGCAACTGCCGTTTCTTTGTGACAGATTATCTGGTTTAATCGGGTTGTTAGGTTCTCCAGCCTACCTAACACTGTGGCTACCTTAGCCTCCATTTCTTCTTCAAGCGGCAATCCATCAACCGGTATCCTACCTCGGTTCAGGTGCTTGCCCACAGTCTCAGGTATCATTCCCACTTCGTGTCTGATAAGGCTTTGTCTGATAAGGCTTATCTCCTCCAATGATAAGTGCGTTTTTCTCTTATGGATGTGCTCTGTCACTTCTTCCCTATAATCCGTATCTATGGACATGTACTCGGCAGCAAAATGCTTCGCCTTGCCTTTAAATTCATGGGTGATCAACGCCGCGCGCCAAATCGCGCCTCTCAGCTGATCGAAGAGAGTCACTCACAACCAATACTCACGCTTCAGTAAGCGTGTATAATGTGATCGATCAATCACTCCTCCCTTAGACCTTATCTGCCTTTTCCAAGCGTTCTTTGTTGCTGTGCCTGGATATCCGTACTCGTACCACGCGTCTGCAGTCGATCAAGGCAATGGCTCAGCTCCTTGTAGCGGGGGTTGTCTAGTGGTATTAACGGTTTGAACCGGATCGATCAAGAAAGACACGGCTGAAATAAAGATATTTCTATGGCAACAATGAACAAGGATAACTTGAACAACTTGTGAACAACTTGAACACTCCACAACGAATAGGAGTCCTTCTGACCAGATTTGTCCCGCTCAGCAAGGTTCTCTAGCTTCTCTCTGTCTAAGGGGGGAGGTCCACCTCTCTTCGATGGCTCGTTTAAACTCCCTGGAGCGCTCTCTTCACGCTCTGACTGTTCCCCCTATCCACCGGTATTTATACCCTGCTGAGAGGTTGAATCGGCCTCCCCTAATGATTGGTAGATCAATGATCCGCCCCATTCAACAATGATAATTTACAATGGTTGAGGCTGTAATGGACTAACATAAGCACACTTTTCCTCCGACGTAGAGAACACCTTACTTTTTTTCAATTTTTTCCAAAATGGAAGACAAACCCAGTTATTCAACATGCGACAACAATCTACATAGTGACGGGTGATGCATTCAGTATTGCATATGTTAGAGTAAAGCGAGGGCAAGCAGGAATCGTCGGCCAATTGTTTTTCGTTTGCGACAGCAGGAAAAATCAAATATTAGAAGGTCGGCACATTTTTGCACGCGGAGAAGAGCTTGAATAAGGTTTTTTTATCTGCTCGCGAAAATTTCTATGCAGCAAAAAATAACTCGAGTTCTTTTCAGCCTTAAAAAAATTCTGAGAATTAGGCTACTTAATTATGGCAGCCAAATACGTCTGCGCATCGTCATATGGAAGCAGTATTAGGTCAAACTGGACGGTTTTGAAGAAAACCTTGCAGAATACAAAATATTTTCTCTTCTTTCTCGCTTGTCTTCCTTACATGGCATACAGTGCTTGTGATAGCCATAAACTCGTTTAATTCAGTGAAATTCAATTCGTTCAAAATTGTTATAAGATTTTAAATAAAAAAAGTCGCAAATAGGACAAAACTTTTGAAACAACCTAGTATCTTGGACATTTTTCTTTTTTTATCAAATAAAGTTGTGGTACATATATAGGATGGAACTAGTTGGGACTCAATGTGCTTTAATTAAGAGCCGCATGCACTAACCTTCCCGCTGGGGAGGGGATCGCAGCTCAAAAAAAGCTTTATATTTCGAAACTCCAGATACCTGGATTTCACGTTGTGTACCTATTCGTAAGTATCCTTACTACCCTTCACTATGAACATGTTGAAGAAAAGCGAGGAACTGTACGAACCGCATTTTCCAGCTTTTGTATGATCCCTGATGATCCCCAGCGCTTTTCTTTAAAAGCTG